TACAGTGGGTTCGCAGTAATTCCGAAAAACGCCCACTTTTACACCAAAACTTACACTTTTTAAAAGCTTATAATTCTATTAAATAATATATTAAAGATATAAATTCTTCTATAAATATATAATTAAATACTTATGAATTATAAATATTATTTTTATAATATTTTTAAAATTTTATTTCTTATTTTATTTAAGTTTAAAATAATTAAACATTCTTAAAATTTTAACCTATTTTTATTTTTAAATTTTACTTTAAATAAAATAATATAAAATATTAAAAATATATATAAATAATATTTAAGTATTAAATTATTAAATAATAATTTTAGTATTTATTTTACTTTTATATATTATTTAATATAAAATTTTAAAAAGCATGAGTTTATTTTTTAAGTGGATGTTTTTTTTTCGGAATTACTGGGACCGACTGTACAAGGGATGCATGGGGATGAATGACTCAGTGCTTGGTAACAGCAAAACTTCATAGCGGGCACGCCTATGGGTACATTGTCTCGCGACATACGCGTTGATAACTATAACAACCAAATTACTATTCTGTATCGTCTAAAAAATACAAAACCCTCTTATCGAGCCGTTCTAATGGCTATCCTGCCACCATGCTGCACAAGCTAGTCGTTTTTCTATTCTGTGCACAGTTCGCGTTACGGTCAGTGATATCTTATTACCGTGGTCTATAAGCTAGCAGAGAGTCGAGAGACCTCGGAAGGAGGCCATCGGTTGAAGATGACGATAATAATCATAGCTGGCGGTGCAGCTCTGGGCCAACACTTCGCTTGCCACGTGTGATGAATCATAAGAGCAGCCATCGGCATGTTGGATGCCCGGCAACCGGGATCAGCGGGGATAAGTTGCCCGACCAATGTTGATACTTGATGGCGCGAGTGAATAACGTCGACCCCAGACGAAGGTTGACATGAATTTGCCACACCACGCTAAGACGACACAGTTTCCAGAGGTTTCCCGTACGCAACTCCTAGATCAAGCTAGAAGAGAAAGTCCCATCTTCAACAGAAAAGTCCTCGTCATTGAAAATGGCGCTTTTCAGCATCAATGGTGGAAAACGCCCCAGGTCTTGATGCTTCCTCTTGGTAAGCCCGGAGTTGCGATGCAAACTGCCAACAGGTGCTTGTAATCATGGTCATGGTCCACGAGCCGCCCGTCCGCAGACTCACACAAAAGGACTTTATGCTGCTAGGTAGAGAATACCGTTCCGCCAACCCCATTAATAATGCAAATGACACCGAACAAACCAGTGCAAGTCGGACAATTGATTCATCAGGCTTTATCCTTTCCCAGGCTCGTCTTGACCTATAGGCTCTCACCTTCTGTTTCCATCCGATTATCCAATACTCATGCAGCGTCGTAGGTCCTTATTCCATTGTTGTACAAGCTTCGCACCGCGCCGTCGATTAAGCGAATGAATTGCTGCTCTTCCATCTCCACCGCATCGAATTGCCACTGCGATTCTCCAGAGGCATCCCCATGCATCTCGGCATGGGTACGGTAATATCGGTGGCCCAGGATCTGCGCTAGATTCCGGAAGCCCATGTGCGCAAAGTCGCCGGGTAGAATCTCGACCACGGCAGATCCCGGCGGCAAGAACATGGTGTGAGTGAGGCCAGCTCCATGCACACCTATGAGAAGATCCGTCTCGCGGACGATTTTCAGCTGTTCGGCGAAAGAGAAGCCGGCAAAGTCCACGATTTCTAGGTCCAAGTGAGGAATAGCCTTTTGAACAGATTCAATGAGCTCCGTCTCGTTAATGAGTTTCCGGGTATTCGTCCGGCGGACAAACTTGGCGACGACCTCTCTATTCCTGCGGGCAGGCGTGGGCACATCGTAAAGGTGCAAAACGCGAGAAACAAAGGCCTTGACTAGTGCGGATTCACGGCAGTCAAGTTCGACCCAATCTCCTTGCCAGAGCGTATTGCTCCCGCCGGAAAAGGGTATGATAATGTCCGTGGCAGGCTCAGAGTTGTTCAGTTTGTGGATCCGCCGAATGGGCATTTTGGCGAAAAGCCTCCACATATCGACAAAGGGGCCGTCTTCGTATTCGTCAAGGAATATGACCTGCGTTGAAGAGGCCGCGGCTGGTGACAGATAAGGCTTCTGTGAGGTTGGATCCACGCTGATCTGCAGTACATCCAGAGTCCACGAGAGGCTTAACAACTCCATCATGACGTGCCAAAGATTGCTAGGCCCCTCTCTCTTTACCAAAATGCTTATTGTGCGGGACCTATGGATGCGAGAATTTGGATCGAGGAGTACGGCCTCGTTGAAAACTAGCCCAGGCCCGGTGTCATACCAATATTGAGTCAGGTTGTCTGGTATTCGTGGAATGTCACTCTGAACTTCTTCTGGTGATAGGTCTCTCAGTCGGCATCCAAGTCGGAACTTGGACTCGCCAGCGTCATATGTGGCACCTTTTCCATGACACATGGCATCATGTCGCTCCTCAGTAGTTGTCGACCAGAAACAAGACAAGCTAGGGGAGGTCGGGGTGCAGTATGAGATGGAGGACTCGCGAACATTTTCGAGAAACTTGACGCCGAAGCGTTCTTGGCACCATTCGGTATCGGAGGACTTTGGTGTATATTCCGATGGTAAGTCGAGGCTCGGCCGCAGGCTTTGGGCTTTGTGCGGTTTCGGACTCTTTAGAGACTCCCATGGCGGAAGCCAAGTGCGAGATGGCAGAGGGTTGTGTTGGTACAGTATCGCGAAGATGAACAGTGCCACTATTGCCAAAGTAAGCACTCGAAAGCGACGAGAACGAGCAGGAAGCATTATTAGCATATGCACGCGACCGCGCCGAAAAAGCTCACCCCATGGTTCCGTCGATAATTCATAATGGGCGGACACGGAAATTGGCTGCTTTATGGCAGTCAGCGCCAGCCAGCCGCTCTCCAACCGAGCGCTGTTGGCCAATCGGAACGATCTCTTCTAAGAGAAACACAAAGACGAAAAGAAATGAAAAGAAATGGCCCCCCTACCCGACCGAGTCTGCACTCGGTACGGAGTCGCACCAGACGATATGGGTTGTGTGGTTCCACTCAGCATGCACGAAGCCGGATAGAGGCACTGGGGAGACAGCGCGAGTTTACCGCTGTGGCGATGCCTTGTTTGTCTCATCATTTTGTAGTGTCGAAATTATGGCAGATAGGTAGGTAGGTAGCACACTGTGAGCACGGCTCAGTCTGATAATGAACACACTGCGCCCATGGCGTGGAGACGCAAATATGCATCATGATCCCAGCTCAGCCCACCTCACCCGTGCCTCCGGCCTATAGGATCAAATGGCTCGGCCAAGGGGCTGTTTCCGCGGCTAGCAAGATGATAGATCCTCCCAAGCCAAAGGGGCCAGTCTTGTACTCCCGTACTCCGTAAGGAAAGGGCAGTTGGATTGCACAATACACATCAAAGTCGGCGGCAAGATGCGTTGGAAAAGTCTGGCCAAGGAATCTAATTTCCCGTCCCACTATTGGCCTGTAAAAAGTCGTTATTTTGTTACTATGTACTCTGCAGTAAGCTGGTGCTACTCCGTATTGCTTGGTGAAGTACGGAGTAGCTCATGTTCTCGTCAGCGCGCCATGGGTATCGAGGCAACCCAAGTCCCGTTGGATGCTGTAGACGTGCTCGCACAAATCGATTCTTTATAGTTGCACGAAAGTCTTTCTTGTTGCCGGTCGAATCTCACTCTCCCCCCCTTATTCTGGACTTGGATTGTCATGTCTTCTCCCAGTCGTTGGACAGTATTGTGTAAGATAATCTTTACCGTGAGTGCCAGGAAACTGGCATACAATGATGCCATTCTTTGCTTCAGAGCTGCGGCTTAAGGCATCATGGACTCTGCTGCTTGCTATCTCCCAGATCGCCGGCGTAGTCGCGCAAAACTGCGTGCCGCCGCCAATTTCGCTTCCTATCAAAAACGTCACTCTATCGACGGGCAAGACTCAGCGCGGTGTGTTCCTCACTGTTGCTGAGCCCGAACAGAACTTTGCCTTTTTACCGTACTGGTAAGAGTTTACCCTTCTTTGTTACCGCCGAGTTCTTGCATCTTTTAGCCAAAAACAAATCTTTCGACTTTTACTTATCCTACTTTCCCTCGTCTTGTCCTCTCTTGTGAATTTGGGTGACAACAGCTCAGGAACTAACACTGGACTCTTCACAAGGCGAGTCAACAACACATTCCTGTACGGTCCCGCTTGTGATTCCTTGAATCTTAGCTGGGAAGGGGATTCGTGCGTGACCTTTCGAGGAGGCGTCTATAAGCCAGCCGATTCAACTACCAAGGGCGCGCCGCCATCAAGCTTTAAGCCACCTATGGAGGCGTGGAGCTCCAAGACGTATAAGTTCTTCTCGGACAAATTCAACGTGGCCAGCAACGTGAGCTTGGAGAATTTCGTCTTTGCCAATCCAGTCGATTATAAAGGATGGGATTTGCAGGGCTACGACCCTTTGAACATGATTGGCATGGACAGAGGCTCAACCCTCATGTCCGCGTTACGAAGCACCGGGCATATTGCGTCTTCAGCATTTGGATTTTGGTGGGGACTTGACGGCGTTGAAGACGATGACCAGCAGCAGGGCTCATTTGTATTAGGAGGCTATGACAAAGCCAAAACGTATGGCGACGGCACCACGATGCTTCTAAGCCACCACCCTGACTGCCCGACGAGCATGATGGTCACCATCCAAGACATCACACTGAATTTACCAAACGGCACAGACGCATCCATCTTTTCCAAAGAAAACGGCGGCACGGCCTTGCTGGCCTGTGTGCTGCCACAGCGAGCAACTCTCATGGACATGCCTCGATCCCCCTACTTTGACAATCTACTGAGTATTATCGGCAACACCGAGGCTCAAAGATCCACAGGCATTGACTGGTGGACCGTTATCATGGACCCTTCACTCGGAATGTAAGTTGAAATTCCCTCGCCCTGGCAGCCACGAAACTCGCTTCCTTTATCGACTCACGTCGTGGCAATTTTCCTACCACGTCAAATATCAAAGTTGTTTCTTCGCAACGGTGATGCTGACCGCTCTAGTTACAACGGAGGCATTACTTTCAAGCTAGGTGGCGGTATCAGTATAAAAATACCAAACCACCAGCTCGTGGTTCCCGAGAGGAAAATAGACAAGGATGGCAATCTGTATGTGAATGCCTCGAGGCCCGTCATCCGCATCAACTCTCTGCAGAATACAACTGCCAATGTGCTGCCCATCTTGGGGCGCTATTTCCTCACCGGAGCGTACCTGATGGGAAATGTTGGCGCCGGCAAATTCACCATCTGGCAAGCAAATCCGACCACAGACCAGAGTTTGGTCGCAGTCAACGATAACAACGAGGTCTTTGATCCCAGCAAAACATGTGCTACCACACCTACGGCGTCATTAAGCGCAAACGGTCCCACCACCGCAACGGACAGGGCGTCTGGGGACAATGGCAACTCCACGCTCTCGTCTGGCGCAGTAGCAGGCATAGCGGTTGGTGCTGCAGTGGCGGCGTTGGCCTGTGCCGCGTCCATCTGGTTATTTGTTAGGAAGAGGCGGGCGTCCAAAAGCCAGCAGGAAGGTCGCCGGGCGGAAGACGCTGTGCAGGAACCCAAGTCAGATGGCGAGGCGGCATATCCAAGTCAAAGCATTCCTCATTGTATCCCACAGGAGATGCCGGCAGTTGCCAGGAAAAGCCCTCCGATAGAGATGCCTGGCTGACCTGTAACCTGTAATAAATGGTAAAGAGATGCCGGCATTTACAAAGGAGTAATTCAGCACCACCGTCAGTTTGGCTACTGTAGCAACCGTCTGAGACTTCGAGCAACTAAAGAGGCTTGTCAACCGAAATATTCCGCGTAGCCATTCTTTAATCACATTTTCCGCTGCTAGTAGTGTACTTGCATCAGTCTGTTGTAATGTCAACGGAGCAAATGGAGCAAATGCCTCAATAGCTGGGAAATCCCTCAATAGCTCCAAAGTCACTCAAACGCCTGGCGCCACAAGCGCACAAACGCCAAATATGTATAAGATTCTGGTCTCAATTCCGAAAGCCTACTCCACTATTCAATTCGATCCGCAGCTGCCAATCGTGACGTGAAGCCCATCCGTGGTCGATCTTAACTTTATTTGCTCTTTCACTCCACAAGGCTCTTCCAGGGGGTCAGACCAATTGAACCGATTGAGGTTCGCAACGACATGGCAAGCAGAGATTCTTGGTCCTTCCAGCTTGGGGCAATATTCTTCTTGTAAAAAATGCAATTCACCACTGCCGGAGTGTTCAATCGTGGGAAGCATCGTTCCTTGGTCGCCAAGGTACGACATAACGGCCGGTGACCGCATTTAAATGGCTCAGCGAACGGAATTATTGCTAATCAGAACTCACCCCAAAGTAGTGCTGAACCGTGGATTGGTCCCAGGGCTTGCCATCCGGTCAGCACCCGCCGGTCTGAGTAATAGAGGTCTTCTAGTTAGATAAGTGCCTCAGGCGACCCGTCTTTCCTGAGACACCCAGAGAGGTTATTGCTATTATTCAACTACCTATCAAGTTGCCTCACGGCTCGTGTATACAAGGTGTACACTTGACTTGGGCAACTTTAAGTATACACAAATGCCGTTCCGAATCTATACGTTCTGGGGTCTGGTCGACTACTATGACATTTGACTTTTTTGACTTGGACACCAGGCACATTTGCGCCGCGATACGTTAATCCATCCAAGGAGCGGAGCCCTTTTTTCCTTCCAAGGTCGTAGCTAGTTGATGAGCTATCCAGCTTCTAATTTGAACCTGATAAACTCGCTCTTGCCACCCAGTTTGAACGCTCTGGATAAAACGCCCGGCTGTTGACCGTACGAGATAGAAGGCCGGATTGATGACTCACTAGTTGACAAATATTACGCAATACCAGAGGCTCGTACGCGTGTCTGGCTCTTCATCCTAGATTTGCGCACTCTCAAATCCCTCGCCCATTTAATCGTGTCTCCATGTCAAACATTTCACACTTTTTGTTTTTCGGCCTTCTTTTGTACATGTGTCTTGCATCAATTCTATCGCGTTGCTCTCGCTGGCACAATACCTCAATATCAGGTAGCTGCCTCTGCTGCTGCAAACATCGACAAGTTCAGAGTCATCATCCTAGCATGTTCCAATCGTAACGGTAAAGTAGACGTTGCGGGCGATGTGACAAGGGCTTAGAGTTAATAGCTCAATTCTTCTAATAACAGTCTTTGGTATTAAGAATCCTTGGTTTTCTTCAAGGCCTGGAGAGACTAAAGAGATTTATTAATACCAGAAGTCGGTAAGAGCCTCATGCCCCAGGTCTCCTGATCGTAGCCCTCGTGCAACCGTGTGAGCCCCAGCACGATAGACAGCGTTATCCTGGACAATAAGCAGGTTCTCGCTTAGAATCCACGGGAGCCAATAGTCGAGGGTCAAGACGTGCTTTGCCACGGCGGCGAATAAGGTATATGCCAATGTCAGATAGACGCCTAGGTGCTATTTAACTATTTGTTCAAGTACTTTGTAGACAAACGAAGCTCGTTCCATGAAATCAACCAGGGCGACGCATCCTCCAAAGAACAGCAAAGCACATGCCGGTGCCGAAAAACAGTGACAAGGCCTTTGGGGACTGATACAATCCGCAACTAACACCATATTGCCAAGGATCGGGGAGCATCCAAGTTTCCGATAGCAATGCTCACAACTACAGTGACGTCTAGCAGCCACATCCGCACTCGTCGCACTTCCCTTGGCCACAGGGCGTACTCCTCTCGCAGTCTTGGTAAGACGCACATCGAATCCACGGGCCATAGCCCGAGTTTTCAGCCGTCCAGCACCATTTTCCGTTGTTCTCGTCGTCGCAGGCTTTCCAGCAGTAGCCGCCATGGCTGCATCCCCAGGCCGATTTAAACTCGCACGCGCGCGCAAATAGCTGTTTTCCGTCACGGCCGGTTCCGTGTCCCTCCGGGTGGCCGAGGCACTTGCGGACCTGGGAGGCGTTGACGCCCTCTGGGAGCTCGGCTGGGTCAACCTTCATGACTCCCAGCGATCCGCATTCCGCTTCGGGGCTTGCGGGCACAGAGAGCGACCCCTGAGCGTAAATAATGGCAACAGCCACTGCCTGGAGGAACTTCATATTGATAGGAGAGAATGTATTTGCCGCAAGGCTAAGTCGATTGAGTGCAAGAGGGGGCAGAATGTTGAACAAGATGTTTGATTGGCTATCGTTTTGTAGATTGTGAGCTGATGTTTGAATTCGGAGGACGAACTGGAATATAAGAGCATATTTATACTTTTCTCTCCGCCATGATGAGTTCAGTTCCGGAAATAGATACGTCATGCAGCAGGACCAGGTGAGGATGCACCAACGATGTCCCTCACCGCCATGCCAACTGTCAAAGGAGGAATAGAGCCAGCCATGGAAGAAAGAAAATAGGGCCGCCACGGCATCGGTGGGCAGGAAAGTGAAGCTGTTCGTGATTCAGTGCTTCTCCCTACACAATGTCTCATTCTTCGGCTTTATTGTGAATTGTGATAACCATTGTTCGAATAACTTGTGGTTGGTTTGAGAGTCTGATGCTAGAACACGAGATCAGGTTCGCGGCTACCGCAGTACTCATGTGCGCCAGTAAATGGTAATAGGAAGCTATATTCTGCTGGTCACTATCGTCTACATCTTTACACGCATTCAAGCTTCGCGCACACTACCCGGGGAGGACAAGTTGGTGAAGTGGCTTACACGTGTAGTCTCTGTGGGTAAACTAGCAAGTCCACCGTTCTCTGTTGCTCGTGTGCGACAGCAAGCTGCAGACTTTTCATCCTCGTTCTTTCGCTTGTTTTCTTTGGGGAGGATAACTGCCGTTCCATGTCCAAATCAGTAGTTGGTAAGCCTAAAAGCATTGAAGCATACATGTCAACTGGTACATATTCCCGGATTCGGGAAATGGCCATGGCTCGCAGTTGGTTGATGGGAGCCAACATTGATTGTACCTAAAAATTGCACTATACAAGCCATCCTCGTGTCTTTTTTGTGGATGCAGCGTCGTTGCAGAAAAAACATATAATTGGTACACCTGACAACGTAGGCAAGGGGGACTGAAATAGACACACATCCAGGCAAAGGGTGAAGTGAGGCGAGGCGAATCCCCGAGACAAGAACAAGAACTCAAGTCTGACGCAACAGCACAGCTATACTTGAAATGACTTGTCTGTTTTAAATCTGACCCACGTTGTGCCATTGAGGTCGCTTCAGGAAATTCGCCACATCGTTGGAGTAAGACAGACGAACAGACTCGTCAACTTTTTTCTAGGACACGGTGGGATTAGTTCATTGCTTGAAGGTACTTGCGCAAGTAAGAGAATGGGCCACAGGGCTATGATACTGGCGAGCATCACAGTAAATGAGTCTAAATTTGTCCACACGGACTACAATTCATCAGCCAACCAACCAAAATTACCTGTGTTGGCTGAGACGGACAATTATACTAGAGCATTCAGCCCATGAGATCTGTAATATGTATGTAAATATATATAGAAACATGGAGAGATGCAAGAGAGTTCTCCATTTTTTGGTAGTGCAGTTGACAGGTGCCATCTCTCTCATGATCGGCGCTGAGGTCAATTGATGTGTCAAATCTCGTGGATCTTGTCACGGACCTTCATTATTGCAAGTCTGCATTGTCGACCAACGTCAAAAATGGGAAAAAATCCCAACCAATCTTTGCGTTGCAAAGCATAAAAAGCTGGGCTAGGAACCTTGCGCCCAACACGGCACTTTCGTTTTACCAATTGCTTTTTTTTCGCCAGGTTCTTGTCATCTCCCACCGATATATCCCATTGCATACAAGAGCACAAAAAGCCAACGATAGGACTTGGCTCAGCCCGTTACAACTCCCATGTAATCACAATCATTACTACGAGTCCTTTCGCAACATGAAATCATCTCACAGGGACATTTATGAATTGATGCCTTTTGTCGTTGGCGCCTTAATTTTTGCGTACGTTTAGCTTGCTTGATGACCCGCTCACCATGGTTGACAGCCTTGTCCAGAGCCGGTATATACATGTATATCGGGATATTAAAAGACTATTATACAAGATAGCGATTCGCTCCGGGCAAGACAACCTTGAGTTCGGGGAAGCCGCGATGAAAGCTTGGAAACGGATGGCAGAAGACTACGCAACGATTGTTCCATTGCATCCAGGGCATGAGTCAACGTGCATTGCTAGTTCGGGTAGATACAATTGTACATTAAAGGGAGACAGTAGGAATGTTATACATGGTCAAGGGTACCAGCGATGAGGCTCAAGATTGACCCGCCACATTTCGAGTTCATGCAAGCCCTGCTGTCTGACAGATGGACGATTCCTACGTCAACGCGCAGGTCTTGTCAAACGGGGCAAGACGAAAAGAAGAAGAAAAGACCAGGGCTACTGCTTTGTTGGTCGAACCCTGGTACGGTGTACAATAAGAGACGAATAAATCTGTCTCAGTCGAAGAGCCGTCGGTCGGCCCCCAGCACGTAGCTTGGTGAACCATGAGCATGCTTCTGTTTAGCCAAGGGCCAAAGATACATCCAACTTTTCAAGGCGTGAACGACATCTGCATCTTCATCTAGAAGTGGACTTGACTGGGCAATTGCCGATGGCCGCTCAGAGTTCCCTGGCTTCTCCACAAGGCATAGTTACTTTCAATATCTAACCAGCCTTGTTTCCACCCTGCGTTTTGAGTGCCCCGTGTATGACGGCTGGGGATGATCTCCTCCAATTAAATCATCGTCAGGGGCATCCATGCCGCCTGAGCTGCGTCGTAAAGCTGCGATAGACGTCAATGAGTTGGGATTATTACAACAGCCACTCGCCAGCTACCCAGGTACTGGGTAGTTTATTCTCTTCTCCGAGGACCAAACCTGCTCCTGTCGGTCTGCTCACGTTGATCTGGTACGTCTGCTCGACCTTGAACATGATTGCTCCTCGACTGGCACGGCGGTTCCAATATAAGCTTTCAATCATCTCGGCTCTTGTACTCTGCCTTACAGCGTAGCCGTTGGATGAGGTAGCCTTGCGAAGAAGCTTTCCTCTTGCTTACAAGCATATACATTCTTTCCGAGGCAAAGGGGGAGGTGAGCGCAAACCGGCTGGTCCCCGATATAGTACCAGACTACTTAAGTACTTGGCACCCCAAATTCCAGGACAAATACAGGGTGCTGATACTCACCAACAGCATGGTACATCCCCCGCGGATGGATGAGCAAATGACCAAAGCCCACCACGGACCATTGTCGAGGCTGCACGCATAGCTTCCAAAGCAGCTCAATCGCATCCCGAGCGCCGTATCCTCTTTTCAAATATCCCGTTAATCGTTCATCAAAAATGGAATACAGCGCGACTCAATGGCACAGACACAAGAATCGTCTCTTTCGTTGCAACTTCGCTTGCACACTCCACGTTGCCCGAGGGGGGGAGTAGACCCATGGCGTATTTTCTCTGGGATGACCAAGGCGTCTTGTCCCTGGTGAAGGAACTTGAGTCATCTCTGGCAGATGACTTCACCAACGTGTTTTCGCCAGTGGAAAAGGTCGATATTTTTAGAATCATGGTGTGTAAATGGTTTGGAGGCATCGTAAGTGCCGAGCAACCTGCCGCCATGTCCTGGCCAAAACCTGGGCTGACAACTCCAGTACGGGGACATTGACACGAAGCCTCTCCAACATCCCGCCCATTGGATTCAGCAATCCGACATTTCAGCATGGACCGACGAATCGACGGGCAAGACGTACGGCCTGGACAGCTCGGCGCTGCGTCAGCTCGCACATACACCCGCGCAAGCTCAACCCGTCAACGCCATCTGGGGGATTGAATGCGACTCGGATCCGAAAACAGACGCCCACTGGCGCATGGGATACACGTACGCGATCCAGCTCACAAACTGGGCGTTTGCTTCCGCCCCTCGCCATCCCATCCTGCAGCGGTTCCTCGACCGCCTTGTTGGCATGGCCGACGAGGCCAAACAAGCTGCGCTGCACACCTCTACCGGCAGCCTCTCCCAGCTGCACTACGATCCGCTCACACGCACGGGGCCAGCGGCCGTTACAGAGGTGACGCGCAAGTGGCTGGAAGAACGGCAAGGATTGAGGTGGAATGCCCTGACGGGTCTGAAGGACAATGCGAGGACGAAGCTCGCTGGCGACGTCTTGGTTCTTCCCATGACGGGATTCAGGTATCAATCCACCCCTGTGTACTACACATTACTAAGGCACTAGTTTTTTCGACGCACGCGTCAATTGCTGACAAGTACATGGTGCAGCCCGACAAGAGAGAGTTATAGCAGAATGGGCGAAAAGCCATGGGACCACCCGGACGCAAGACCCGCCCATACGGCCTTGGGTTCATGGCATCACACCAATTTAGTTGTGGAATATGGTAAATTTTGCCGCACGGTTTTCAGCATGTGCAAAGACTAGCAAAAGATGTGGTAATGACAAATCGCGACTCGAAAGATGAGTGTTTTCGCCAATACCTTTTTTTTTCTTTTTTCGAATATCAACATTATAGAGCTTGAGCACAATGAGAGCAAAGAATGGGGAGCCATGCACAGTTTCGCATGGTCGATGGTATCAACAGCGTGAGCGGCAAAAGTTGTTTAATTCGTTTCGGATATTGGCTGGCTCTTTGGCCTCTAACAATCTTAACTACGGAGGTCCGACCGTGTCGCTTCCTTCTACTCCAGAGTCGTGCATTTAGAAGCCATCACACCACTTCGTACCCTCTGTTCCTCGATTGTTTGACAAGACTTTGAAGGGCACGCTGCAGTATGGGGGACTTGAGAATGCACTCTGAGAACTAGAGAAAGAAGCTAGAAAGTCCGAATCTGCGCTTCGGTGTGCTGGAATCTAATGCGACAAGACGTCAGACATGTGAGTTTGACAACACGATGGTCCTGGGGGTATCCTAACCCTAACCCTGGCCAACGTCTTCGTGTAGTTCAAGGAGCTTGCTCCCTGGCTACTGGCAGTTTGAGATGATACCTGTAAGTCCGGCTGGGAACACTCTTCTTCAGTGGAATGGGATCAATGGGACGGGATAATATCAAATATACGCACTCGGCAGAACTCGATTATTAGGTGCTGGCAGGGGATTAGATTTATGGGTGGCCCTACCCTAAAGCAAGCAGTAGAAACTTTGGGTCGTGTACGTGGCGCTTATCGTGTATTAATTATATATGTAGCAGTCTAGGTAACGAATGCAAGCCGAGATAGCTTGGGTATTATTTTAAGTCACTTATGTAAAGCAGACCATAAAGCGGTTTTGCATGAGAGGGATTTCACCTCTGTCGCATTTATTGCTCTTGAATATCCACATTAACCTAAAAGTACCACCAGTTGACATCCGTGTCACGCAAGTACAATGCTTACCAACGCAAACTACTCTCCTCAGCTGGTAGCTTGATTAGACTGACCTGAACCGTTTCTTCTATGCACTCATTTTTGTCTTGTACTTATATTATCTGCAATTTTAATATTTTGTCAGGCGAAATACGTTATCAAGAAACAGAAAGGTGGAATAGGGCTGCGTATCGAACTCGACATCGCACTCGGCGATATACTCTCATCACAATACCATGGGACTAGTATTGTAATGCCATGATACAGATGATTCTACTTATAGAGCATCAATAACTACAACTGGCATCAAGAACGTTCGGTTATCTTGGGTGTCGCCCAAGAAATTTGCTGATTATGTCAGGATGCTCGCTGATTTGGCTGCCAGGCTTGATGAGCAGTTCCCAAAATATTCACAGCTGGACACTGGGCACACGGGTGTCAACGCATTATTGGGTAGGTCGTTGGAAGCGCCGTTGTCGCATCGCAGGACGAGGGACAATGGCTTTGGGGTACAATGGCAACTATTGACCAAAAAACGCAGCACAGTCCGTGCAATAGAGTCCGCCGCTATGATCCTGACAGATGATTCCATGCATGGATGGCAGCCCACAACGATCAACCAAAGTCGAGTGATATGAAGCTAGCATTACTGCTAGGCGACATATCGCAGGGAGATTCCACAGTGAAGCATCAAGTCGAAAGCACTGCTTAGCGGCACGAGGCAGAGTGTTATCTTGTGGGAGCAAGTAGTCGGGGTGGTTGTCCACAATGATTCCAAATGTTATTTTTTCCCTCTGTGCTAGCTGGACCCAATTTACCGCTACGCCGCAATTTTTCGCGAATAGCGCCGGAAAATCATCCTGCAAATCCCCTCGAAACCTGATCTATTCGTCACATTCGGCCAGCCCAAGATGCATGTTGCATGTCGTTAACGGAAAATGGAAATGCTCGGAACACAAAATTTTTATCGGAACTAGTTTCCCCTAGTCAATCTCGGCGAGTCCTTGCGATATTTCGAGGTTCGTTTCGATGCAAAATTACCTTCTGGAATCCGATCTGAGCAGCACGCTCACGGAAGCACTGACGGCAGAGGTTCAATCCGTACTTGCGGATCAAACCGGCCTGGTGGGCGCAGACTCGGCTAAACACCATCTTTTGTGAGTATATTCGAAATATCGCGAGGGTCGGACTGTTCAAGAGACGAACCATTGGCGGGAGCCCTTGCCGAACTCGCGAGGGCGGCTGTACCAAACAGACTCGTGCGACATGATGGCGGTTTAGGAGACGTATCGTTTGCTGTCGCAAATTACCGATGACTTTGCTGGGCGTGAAGTCGAGGTCACGATCGGTTGGCGTGGTGTGCTGGATGGGGAACGAAAAAGATGCAATGCAAATGTCGGATCTGTTGAAGCGCCCCACAGTGCGCCCAATTTGCGATTTGCCCTAGCCCTAGATACTCGGATAAAAGGTTTTTCCTGGTGGGTCGGTGCAATTGTGTGCGTCGAAACGAATGGATTTTGAGGCTGCGAGGCAGACCCACTTGTGGATAAATACTGGCTAGAGTTTCAACCTTTGTCTCTTCCTCACTCCCTGGTCAATGACTAAAGCTCCAGATGTCTTGTTCACTCCTTTAACAATGTCAACAATCTGGTACCGCCATGTTTCCGACCTGAAATTGGACGCAGCCAGTCTGTGCGCCCAGTCTCAAACATTTAACCGCATTGATGCCGCTCAACTTGGCGGGACATGTTAGCAAGAGCCGGACCTGTCTTTTCACGATTGCGCAAGTGTTTATCCCTCCAAGTACTCCGTACTCCGTATGCAAATCTGGGTTCCTCATTCTCCACAGAATATCGAGCTTGGATTGATCCTCGAACCTCGAATCCCAGCGCACATGACCAAACTCTCGATCCAATAAACGACTAGATTGTACAAACTCTCTCGCCAAGCTTCTGGCTATGATGCACTAACATGGAAGAAAGCCTCGCTACGTTTAGTAGCTGTCCCGGCGGGTTGATGACGTGTTGCCTCCTTAGCGGAGAGCAAGGGAATACTATGAGCCTGTCACCCAACAAACTGATGGCATGGTCGGTGCATGGCCCCAACCCATTCACCTCACAATTCCAACCATCGTAGTGACATGCATCGGCGTCAAGCAGAAGATCATGGTGGAAATATGCGTGGATAAGGAGTGGACTCGTTTAACAACATTTGTCCCTCCAGATGTCGACTCAGTCCCGGGTAGAGCCATTGGAACACTGGTAACGACGTATAATATTCTATTTTGTACACACCCCACGCAATAAGATCCAATCGGGCCCTTCACCAAGGTGTTTGTTTCTCGAGCGTTGGGCTACAGACCTGCCAACCCTACAGCACCTTAGCGACTACGGTCTCTCAGAGACCTTTGATACGCAAGTCGCTTGATTTGAACTTGTTCATCCTCTCAGCTGAAGAGGCTGGTTCGGAAGCTAGCCAGAAGGCTGATCCCACGCTGTAGAATTCTGTTGCCGTCTGGTCGAACGGGTTGCGAAGCCTGTTAGTCCAGCCCCATGCCGAAAGGTCGGCTTCATTGCTGTACAGCGGAAAGATCGATGGCTGTGCTTGGCTGTGCTTGGCTGTGCTTGGTGCAGGCCGTGCCGCTGCAGGTGATGCTCTACAACTACAGCCACGTACTGACTGCCATTATATGCAAAGGCCCGGCCAAGCTGGTCACGCGCAGTACTGAGTTCCGATGCATTATTCAGGAGAACACAGCTACTGAAACGTAGCAGCCATCACAGATGCTCAATAATGGGTTGCCCCATGGGACGCCGCCTGTGTTATAGACTCAATGCTTTCAATCATCTCTGCCACCAGGGTAAGCGTTTCCTCAATAGCATGTACAATCTCAAAAACCTGCATGCCTGTACATGTCTCGGCCCAGAGTCCCACTACAGCAACTGCCAGGCGTCGTATGCGACTACGGAGTAGGGTAGAGGTCCTTTGGGCCCGGAGAGCCCTCCAAATCGGTCTCTTCAATGAGCCGCTCAATGGTGAAGCGCAGACACGTCTCCTCAGACCTGAGGCTCTCCAGTCCGTTAAGACTAGAAGGAACCAGGCTGAAAATATTTTCAAGCCAATGGGTCAAGAACAGAGTACAAGTAAAATTGCTAATCGCCTGCTGAACACTTCAGTGCCCCGTTCGCCCTCGAGCTACGAAAGCGATCCCGACTCCCATTGGTATCCTTAGCGCGTAGATGGCATGTGAAGATGCCTGGTCCAGATGTGGCGAACGGAGCGGAATGGCATTATGTGCTTTAAACGCCTGCGCGATGATCTTGGGGTTGTGCGAGCGAAGTGCGCACTGGCATTGTAGGCCGACGGCAAGATGGATATGCGCCAAGCGAAGCGTGGTGGTGGAATCGAAGGCTAGCGGTCCATGAGAAGAACCGGATGGGTGCAGCTCAGATTCTAGGGCCGGATCCCAACAGGATTGCCATGCACCGAGAGCTGAATCATATAGTGAGATGGTAGTTATCAGCAGGCTTGATGTCGGGTTTACTAGAGTTGATGCGGCCTGGCGTTCAAAGTAGATTTGCATCAATAGGTCTTGAAGAAGCATGTAGTTGCCGAATTCCGTTCTGGCACCTGCTTAGCTACGGGTTTACCGGAGAGAGGCTGCTTGAGGCAGTGTACAAATACTGGCCGGCGAGGATCCTTTTTCTGCAGCCGACGCCAGGCCTTGGAATTCGGGGCCTTGAATTCTGCAGCCGAGCATGCGAGTGGCGGGTTCATCTTTGAAACGGTGATTTGGGGTGGTACATTGAAGCAAATAGTCTGAATGTTGAGAACAAAATAGGCAGAAAGTATGGTGAGACGCCGTTCCTCGTCGCGAGTCCAGTCCACTGAGTTATCGTGGTTGTCTATCAATTGCAGACAAGCTAGGCTTTCACGAGTGAGTAAGGCAAGCTGGCTGCTCATTGCGAGTGCATTTTGAGCAAGAGGTCCATCGAGCCAAGACATGGTGAGGACAAGTACTAGCAAAGCTTGGAGCAGTTCGATGTCAGTGGTGGCGGATGGCGTTGGTCGGAATGTCGTGGCGACTCTGGAGAGGTGGGATGTTGGGCACATCGAAGAAAGCTCCAAAGCAGGTACAGATTAACGTATGGCGACGTTTCTCGAGCTCTGCTGTGACGATGGACTTGGCAATACATGGCGTATCCGTGAGTGTGTTCAAAGCCGAATGAGCCAGAGCTGCAAGGGTCAATAACAACATGGGCGTCATGGAATCCAAACTGGTTGTTGGGAGATGAAGAAAGGGCAAGTGAGGGTGAAAGCCGCGAAATCAGCTTGTGACAAATCTGGACAGGCTATGGCGACTGGGAAGAGTGTAGGGACTTGGTAAGACGTGTTTGTGCTTCATGACCTCAGCAGTTAATCTCTCGTAAGCTGTGGCGGAAACGGACCGCCGATTCGTTAGTAAAATGTCATCAATGGCGTCGAGTGTTTTGTTGACCGTGATATGCTCCTCATCCATGTGTTCTGTTGAGCTTTGATCGTGGTTAATAACACGAGATTGGTCGGTCATAACCTTAGACTGTCTTGGTGGCCCGCCGGCTTGAATTACATCGGGAGGAACATGCCTATTAGAGTTTGGTGCTTCAGCCGATGCTTTGGTGCCGCCGTCATGACCAGAGTCGTCTTTGAACGATGCTTCCTGATAGTCCATATGCGGGAAAATATCCAGAAGATATTGATTATTTTGAAAGAAACTCAGTGTCAAGAGGCCGTGTTTGCATGAAATGAGGGCCGGTGTCAATGGCCAAGTCAGTCTCATGATGACTATGAGGGGGGTAGGCCTGTGTTCTCAGAATCGTCACAGAAGTCTTGCTCTTGATCATCAATGGTGCCATCGTGTATTGAGAACTTGCCCATCAGCTGCTCCTGAGAATACTCGGAAGGGGAGTGACATTGCCCATCTCGCGGTCGGGTCTCGTGTTAGCTTGTATTGCCGCCTCGGAGCTGGTGCCTTGGGATATAAATCATGCTTCATGTTCAGACAAATAGCGGTGGGATGATGTATGGCCCTGAATTCTACTCGAGACCGATGTCTGTGTATTGGGATGTTCGTTTGAAGTTGATTCTGAGCACTATGGGAGCGGAGGTTGACGATTGAGAAAGTCTCCAGAGACGAAGGTAACAAGTAGGCGTTACCGTTATCAACACATATGAAATTACCGCTGGCGTCATGACCTACTGTCTTGTAAACATTCGCCCACAAGAACACGCGAATGGCCGTTCTCGAGTGTCTGGATACAATTCAGCATGACAATACCCCAGAAAATAGCATGAAATCGATTTCAACGGGTACGCAGATGCCATAACAAGTGTTCTTGCCGCTTGAGATCCCTATGACAGAACTTGCAAGGTGCGACCATGTGGTCAACATATTGAGGAAGGGGTATGCCGTCCGAGGTCGGGTGTGGCAAGAGAGCCTCTATTCGCTTTGCCCACAGGCAGAACCTCACTTGGCCCAATCAACCAACTTTGCTACGAATTTCTCTGTCAGGATTGCGTAAATCTTTGCGTGTTGGTTATTGGCCAAGGGTGAAAATCAAGACCGAACGGCGAGAAGCTACAGGACCGACGTTGAGGTGAACGGCTCAAGCCGTGTGGCTCAGTGTGGGGTAGAGGTGGGGGTGGGTCTGACCTAGAATGAGGAAGCGGGCGGGGGATGTTCGATTTCCACAACCAATTACAGTCACTTTGGCTGGACTGGTAGGTGGGGTGTACATTAGGGCTCGTACCGCCTATAATATGTACCGGTGTAACCTGTACTTTACATCCCATATAACGGGATAATACATATAATTATAATAGGTTATAAGCTTAGTAGCTTTAAAGCCTTTACCGCTACTTTAAACTCCTTTTAAGCAGAGCATTAACTGTAGTGTAGTTTTGTAGTTTTGTAGTTTTCGTAGTTTCGAATATAAAAAATTATATTAAATCTAATAAAATACTTATAGAATTATAAGTTTTACGGATAACTAGTATAAATCCTATATTATAAGCTAGTATTAAAAAAGTGGGTCCTTATATAGCATTATAAGCTTAAAACTTAGAAAACTACATTTTGTAGTTTTTATAGTGTAGTGTAGTGTAGTGTGTTTTTAGAAAATTACATAATCTAGTTTTTAAGCTTATAATAAGCTAGTAGGGCCCACTTTTTTATATAAGCTAATTAGTTATAATAATAGCTATTTTATGTATTTATTATTATAATTCAAGTATTTTATTAGATTTATTATTAATTATTTAAGCTTTCTTGAAAATTCAAAATGTAGTTTTCTTGTTAATGCTCTGGTTATAAGGCAATTTAAGCTATTAATATATAAATTTATATAGAATAATAAGAGATTTATAATTATAATAGTAGGTAATTTAATCTTTAAACGCTAGGTAAAAGTATAAGGTATTAAGCTTAAATACTTACTATTATATACCTATAAGCTAAAC